TCTCTCATGTGTTTTTCCTCACCCTGAAGGAGGGTCTAAGGACAGGGGAAGATGTCTGGAAAAGTGTTTTAAAGTGTACAGAAGCAGAATAAAGTTGGTTTGTCACTCAGCATCGTGTAACTCCCTGGGCCTGAGCTTGAGCATCTGCAGTGGAGAATGAAATCAGTGTCCAGACTCACAATAACAGTTAATGTTGGTTTAATAAAGGTTTGATAATGTCCAGTAAAGTTCTACACAATCCACAGAGAGCAGCAGTCCACAAAATACAATATTTAATCCACAGGCCCAAAATGAGACACAAAAACTGTTGGCCTTGTTTCCAGGCGAGCTTCCACATCCACAGCTAGAGCTCCCCCACCTGTCTGATTATAGGAACTGCAGCCTCCTGCCTCCTGCCACCAGCCTTACTCCACCCAAAATATAATTCTCTTCCAGTTAAATTAAGAAGTAGAACATTTGAATAAATCAAGAACATAACTTAAAACCATGGCTTAAAATGGCCTTTACAACAGCCCGTACTTCATTATAAGCTGCTCTTCCAATTATTTTACTTCTAGTGCAGCCGTCACAAAACAGTGATTAACTTTGAAATTCTAAACTTTTATCAATGTTATAGACTTTTTTATTAAACAGATGTCTCAAAATACTTTTGTCTCTCAGATAAAATCAACCACGAGCAGCCAGCAGGTCCATCAGGGGTCAAAAGACACTGGAATTAATGTTGTCACCATAATTTAAAACTTGTTTTCAACAGGAATAGACTCAATACTCAATACTGGTTTTGGCAACATGATAATTAAAAAAAAACTGGCAATAAATCGTAGTACTTTCTTTTATATTTCCACGTGGCCTTATATCTGTGTGATCCCTCAGTTGCCGGGTTGATTCCACAGTGGTCCATGAGCTGAACTGAACCATGTAGACGAGTTTATGCCCAAGATCATTCTAAAGCTGTTCAGGAAAGGTTCATTTCTGTCCTGTGAATGTGACTTTTTTAGTGTCAGCACCTGCTCAAATGAGTATCTAGTTTTAGTATCAATTGATATCAGATTTTTTATCTTTTTGACAGCCATTAAAATAAAGACTACCTAACCGTCACCTTATCGTGGTGGAGGGGTTTGAGTGCCTGAATGATCCCGGGAGCTATGTTGTCGGGGGCTTCCTGCCCCTGGTAGGGTCACCCAAGGCAAACAGGTTCTGGGGGACGGGTCAGACGAAGAACAGTTCAGAAGCCCCACATGATGAGTCACATACAGAGGCCAATTACGTCGCCCGGATTGGCGTCACCGGGGCCTCACCCTAGAGCCAGGCCTGGGGTGGGTGCTCGTCAGCGAGCGCCTGGTGGCCGAGCCTCCCCCCACGGGGCCCGGCCGGGCTTAGCCCGAAGGAGCGACGTGGGGCCGTCCTCACGTGGGCCCACCACCCGCAGGAGGATCCATATGGGGCCGGTGCAGAGAAATCTGGGCGGCAGTCGACGGCAGGGGCCTCGGCGACCAGATCTCCGGACATGGAGACTAGCTCTGGGGACATGGAATGTCACCTCACTGAGGGGGAAGGAGCCTGAGCTTGTGTGGGAGGTTGAGCGTTACCGACTAGATATAGTCGGCCTCACCTCCACACACAGTTTGGGCTCTGGAACCCAACTCCTTGAGAGGGGCTGGACTCTCCATTTCTTCTGCGTTTGGCCGCGGGGAGCGGTGGTGTGGGCCTGCTCATTGCCCCACAGCTCAGCCGCTGTGTGTTGGAGTTCACCCCGGTGAACGAGAGGGTCGCGTCCCTGCGCATTCGGGTTCGGGGACAGGTCCTCACTGTGGTGTCGGCCTACGGGCCGAACAGCAGTGCAGAGTACCCGGCTTCTTGGAGTCCTTGGGAGGGGTACTAGACAGTGCACGGACCGGGACTCCGTTGTTCTCCTGGGGGACTTCAACGCCCACGTGGGCAACGACAGTGACACTTGGAGAGGGTGATTGGGAGGAACGGCCTCCCGATCTGAACCCAAGCGGTGTTTTGTTATTGGACTTCTGTGCTAGTCACAGTTTGTCAATAACGAACACCATGTTCGAGCCCAAGGGTGCCCATAAGTGCACGTGGCACCAGGACACCCTAGGCCGGAGGTCGATGATCGACTTTGTAGTCATGTCATCTGACCTCCGGCCGCGTGTCTTGGACACTCGGGTGAAGAGAGGGGCTGAGCTGTCAACTGATCACCACCTGGTTGTGAGTTGGGTTCGCTGGCGGAGGAGGAAGCCGGAAAGACCTGGCAGGCCCAAGAGTGTCGTGAGGGTCTGTTGGGAACGTCTGGCGGAGCCCTCTGTCAGAGGGACTTTCAACTCGCACTCCGGGAGGACTTCTCCCGATTCCGGGGGAGGCTGGAGATATGGAGTCCGAGTGGGCTTCATTCTCGGCCTCTATTGTCAATGCGGCTGCTCGGAGCTGTGGGCATAAGGTCTGTGGTGCCTGTCACGGCGGCAATCCCAGAACCCGGTGGTGGACACCGGAAGTAAGGGATGCCGTCAAGCTGAAGAAGGAGTCCTATCTGGCCTTGCTGGCTCGGGGGACTCCTAAAGCAGTTGACGGGTACCGGCGGGCCAAGCGTGCTGCAGCCCTTGCGGTTGCGGAGGCAAAAACTCGGAGCTGGAAGGAGTTCGAGGAGGCCATGGAGAAGGACTATCGGACGGCCTCGAAGAGGTTCTGGCAAACCGTCCGGCGCCTCAGGAGGGGAAGCAGTTTTTCACCAACACTGTTTACAGTGGGGGGGAGCTGTTGACCTCAACTGGGACGTTGTCCGGCGGTGGAAGGAATACTTTTAGGATCTCCTCAATCCCACCGTCACGTCTTCCGAGGAGGAAGCCGAGGCTGGGGACTCGGAGGCGGACTCATCCATCACCCTGGCTGAAGTCACTGAGGTGGTTGGCAAGCTCCTTGGTGGCAAGGCTCCGGGGTTGGATGAGATCCGTCCTGAGTACCTTGAGTCTCTGGATGTTGTGGGTCTTGGCTGACACGCCTCTTCAACATCGCGTAGCGGTCGGGGACAGTATCTCTGGACTGGCAAACCGGGGTGGTGGTCCCTCTGTATAAGAAGGGGGACCGGAGGGTGTGTTCCAACTATAGGGGGATCACACTCCTCAGCCTTCCCGTTAAGGTCTATGCCAGGGTACTGGAGAGGAGAATCCGGTCGATAGTCGAACCTCGGATCCAGGAGAGCAGTGTGGTTTTCGTCCTGGCCATGGAACACTGGACCAGCTCTACACTCTCCATAGGGTGCTCGAGGGTTCATGGGAGTTTGCCCAACCAGTCCACATGTGCTTTGTGGACTTGGAGAAGGCATTCGACCGTGTCCCTCGTGGTGTCCTGTGGGGTGCTCTGGAAGTATGGGGTCCGGGGCCCTTTGCTAAGGGCTGTCTGGTCCCTGTATGACCGGAGCAGGAGCTGTGTTCGCATTCCCGGACAGTAAGTCAGACCTGTTCCCGGTGCATGTTGGACTCCGCAGGGCTGCCCTTTGTCACCGGTTCTGTTCATTGTATTTATGGACAGAATTTCTAGGCGCAGTCAGGGGCCGGAGGGGGTCCGGTTTGGGGACCACAGGATCTCATCTCTGCTGTTTGCGGATGATGTTGTCCTGTTGGCTTCATCGAACCAGGACCTGCAATGTGCACTGGGGCGGTTTGCAGCCGAGTGTGAAGCGGCTGGGATGAAGATCAGCTCTTCTAAGTCTGAGGCCATGATTCTCGACTGGAAAAAGGTGGCTTGCCCTCTCCGGGTGGGTGGGGAGTCTTTGCCTCAAGTGGAGGAGTTCAAGTATCTCGGGGTCTTGTTCACGAGTGAGGGAAGGACGGAACGTGAGATTGACAGGCGGATCGGTGCAGCGTCGGCAGTGATGCGGTCGCTGTATCGGACCGTTGTGGTGAAGCTCAATTTACCGGTCAGTCTTCGTTCCTACTCTCACCTATGGTCATGAGCTCTGGGTAGTGACCGAAAGGACAAGCGCTTGAAATGGGTTTCCTCCGCAGGGTGGCTGGGCGCTCCCTTAGAGATAGGGTGAGGAGCTCAGTCACATGGGAGGAGCTCGGAGTAGAGCCGCTGCTCCTCCACGTCGAGAGGAGCCAGTTGAGGTGGCTCGGGCATCTGTTCCGGATGCCTCCTGGGCGCCTCCCTCGGGAGGTGTTCCGGGCATGTCCCGCCGGGAGGAGGCCCCGGGGAAGACCCAGGACACACTGGAGGGACTATGTCTCTCGGCTGGCCTGGGAACGCCTCGGGGTCCCCCCGGAGGAGCTGGAGGACGTGTCTGGGGTGAAGGAAGTCTGGGAGTCCCTGCTTAGGCTGCTGCCCCCGCGACCCGGCCCCGGATAAGCGGACGAAAATGGATGGATGGATATTTTTTATTTTTTTATCCGGAGATTGGTAATTCCAGAGCTGAAATTCTCCAAATGACTCTAAATCAGGGATATTCAATGTTTTACAGACCAGGGACCCCCAAACTGAAGAAGATCTGGAGCAAGGACCTCCAACTATACATGTCATACAATTGTGTTTTATATTAAATTGGGCCTAGTGTGAAAGAAATAAAACTGAGTCTGACCAAAGCTAATTCAGGTCTGAAGTTTAAGTTGTGCTTTGTGTGCTCAAGGTGCCTCTGAAAAAGCCAGAGCAACGGAGCAACATTACAAAAACTGGGGAAAAGTGTGAGTTTTTTTAGGCCAAAGATGTTCATTTCGTCTTCTTATGTACTGGGTCATTGGATCAGAAAACAAGTTCAAACGCTGGATCAGGGAGGCCACTGAAATCAGAAAACGAGGCACGGACACCCCGTTTACGAGACTTTTGTGTCTGCGATCCCGGATAATTTGTGCAGCATACGGACTATGGTTTTGGAGACGAATAATGAAGAAAACAGTAGTTTTTTCCTTTTCTTATTTTTGGTTTTATATTGAAAAACAAATCAACAAATGACACATGGATTAAACAACATACTATAAATCAAAAAATAGCGTTACACGGGCTCTTAAACTTTTTTTTTATTCAACTTTACCAAAATCCAAAACAGAAACACTTTGAATCTCACAGCGAGCATGATTTTATCCCACGCCCCAAAATGCAACACACTTTACAAACACATAACCCATTAAAAAAAAAACAAAAAAAAACATGGTCATATCCCTGATGTTTACTTAAATGGGAAAAATAAAGTCTACATTTTCAAACTTGCATGAACAGTTCGCATAAAAAAAAAAATTGTTAGGCCTAATTTAAACTTCTTAACTTTTTTTTTCTATAATATTTGACACAACTAAGGCATCTTATTGATTACTGTGGGCCAGGGCTATAAGGTGAACGATGAGTGACTGATTGGTCTATCCGACTCGGAGGGGCGGGGCTACCAGGACCACTCCGTCTCCTCTCACAAACAGCATAGGGATGTTCCTCTTGGTCGACTGAAAAATAAGAAATTTTGCACACATTAAAACGACAAATCGCATATCCAATCAAATTTTTTTTTTTTATAGGGTTAGTCTGTATGAAATCAGCCATTTTCAAGGAATCTTCCCTATCAGTCATCTCAGATTTGGCTGAAAAAAATTCAAAAAAATTCTAAAATGACCAAATGAAAGAATCTCAAATTTTAGCTCAATCCCTTGAGTCGTACCCGAGTTATGGCCCGTTGAAATTCTGGGGTCACGCTCACTTTTTCGTACACCTTAATTTATAAGCATGTTTGAGAGACAATTACTTCACAAAAAAAAAATACAGCTAAGAAGCTGAAAATTTGTGTTATTGTAGATTCTTGGTCATAGATTCTGAATTTGTTGTCAAATATTGAGTATCTTTATTAAAGGGGGTGCTGTGGGCTCCCAAAATTTCACATTTGGTTACCGCCCTTTCTTTTTTTCTATTTTTGAGGTCAAACATCTATTTACTCCAAGCACGTATTTACAAACTAACCACTGAACCTGAATATTTGAGAGAATGACCATTTCTGAAAACAATCTGACACTTTTCTGAGCTTTCATGTGGACGGTGTAGAGCCGTAAATGAAGAATGGAAAAAAACGGATAACGGCTGTTTCCCGTTTATGTGACTTCCGTGACTGCGATGCCAAACTTTTGCACCGGGTACAGACTGAACTAGGACTGATCCAAGTCCGAGACCAGACCGGGACTAGACCGGGACCAGAGCGGGACCAGAGCGGGACCAGACCAGGACCAGACCAGGACCAGAGCCGGACTGGGGCGGACTCCAAGCTTTGACTCTGAGCCTCCGCGGGGTCCAAGCCTCAGCTTCGAGCTCCGACCCTGCCGTGGGCTCTGAGCCTCCGATCTGGTCTCGGTCTTGTCTCGGTCTAGTCTCTGTCTCAGGCCCGCTCTGGTCCCGGTCTGGTCCCAGTCTCAGTAGCGCTCTGGTCCCGGACCTGGTCCATTTGAACCAAAAGCTCTTAGTTCGGTTCGTTTTCGTTGGTGTGAAAGCGTCAGTTGGATGCTTTGCACCACCTCGGAACCAGCTGCGGTTCTTGAGCGCGGAGGACTGGAGCAGTCCGTCCGCACCTGTAGACCACAGCGCATTCTCACTTTCCCCGCATGGAACCAGCGCGGAGACGATGACACGGAACCGCTTGGACAGCTGGTCTCGGACTCAGTTCCGCTCTGATCCCGGTGTGGTCCCGGTCTCAGTCCCACTCTGGTCCCGGACCTGGATCAGTCCTAGTTCAGTCTGTACCCGGTGCAAAGTTTGGCATCGCAGTCACGGAAGTCACATAAACGGGAAACGGCCGTTATCGTTTTTTTCCATTCTTCATTTAAACACAAAATCGAAAACTGAAAAAACGAATCATTATCCGTTTTTTCATTTTGGTTTTGGAGACAAATAACGAAGAAAACTGTTGTTTTTTCGTTTTCTTATTTTTGTTTTTTTATTGAAAAACGAATGAACGAATGATACACGGATTATAGAAATAAAGAAGAAACATAAATTACAACTATTTTTACTTCGACTGACCTTGTATAGTTCTTCATAGGTTTCATCGTCGATCTCCACTGTGGTCACCGTCTCCTCCACGTCGCCCAGGATCATGTTCAGATGCTGGTCATACGCCTGTCATGGTAAAGGAAAGAAAATTAATGTGGTACAGAGGAGGGACAGTGAATATATCGCCCTCTATCTGTCCATCCCCTCATCTCTCTTTCTCTCTGCCTGTCTATCTATCTGTCTCTTGATCTGCTTGTATTCTCTCCGTGTCTTGATTAGAGCGTGGTTTGGACAAATATTTAGAATTTATGTTCAGGCTCGGGCTGAACTCGGATACATCAGCACGTCAGCTCTTTCCTGTCTACACTAAAACCACTCGCTCTGAGACTTTTAAGTGTTCAAATATCAAGTCAAAACTGTGTTGTCATTATTATTAGTGAAATGTGGTGCAATTCTTCTTGTAAAGCATAAACAGGGTATCCCAGGTTTGACTACCCCAAATTTAACCTCAGCTTGACCTTTTTAAGACCACTTAAATGAAAATTAAGATTAACATCGCATTTAATATTACACTGCAGCGCGGTTGAGTTAACAAAAAAAAAAAAGGCTAATGAAATTTAAGACCTTTGTGAAAAAAATAAGACTTGGACAACATCATTTAAGACGTTTTAAGGCCTTAATTTAGTAACATGAAATTTAAGACCTTTTTAAAGGGCCCATCTCATGCAAAATAACTCTTTTCACATTGTATCTTCTGCACATAAACAAGCACAATTTGGGTTTTGGAAAATCCATTACACAACAGTTATGAAATGTTACTGATTTCTTGGAGAGAGTCACAGACCAGGTACTATGAAAGGCCGGCTGTTGCTCCTCCCCCCGCCCGTCCTGAGAAAGCACAGGCTCCGCCCTCCAAACGTGGCGTAGGCTCTGAGTGAGCCGCCCTTCCTCCGCCCATCTCAGGGAGGGAGGGGGAGACAGACGTGCACCCTGATAGCGGGAGGAATAAACTTTTATTCATCATGGCGATACAGCGCGTTCAGCCGCATGTGTTGGACTCAGAATCGGACGAGGACTTTGATGTGTACGAAGAGCAAGCACCACGTCGACATCAGCTGAACATTACTGATTGGTAAAGTATTAATAAACACTAGTAGATAAACTTATTATATCGTGTACACTGGAGGACGCAGGGCGGGTGCAAACGTTCTCTGTTACATGTCATAGGTGACACGTAGCTGGCCGTGTCATCGTTGTCGCAGTTTTAGTTTGTTGTCAAGTGGGTGGGTGACAGAAATACACTGCAATTTGTTAAAAAAAACACGCCGAATCAATCTACAAACCACTTCGGCGACATATACAAGGCCCACACATCACTCTTAGAAGGTAGAAACCTCTGAAAAGTTGATTTTGCATGAGATGGGCCTTTAAGAGTTTTAACTACCCTAATAAATGATTGGCGATGAAGTCCACAGGAAGTAGAGTTACTATCGCAAATCTGCAGCTTCACCTCGATCTGTGCGCTGTGTGGACGTAAACAGACACGCGTGAACTACTTTCACCTTTTTCCTTTTAAATAACGCCTCAAACTGGATTAACAGCGCTGTTTTGTAGACTGGATGTTATTATTTGCAGAGGACAATTTCTATGGATATTGTGGATGAGATGCTGCATTTAAATTTACCACTTTACGAGAAGTGAGTATTAAAGTCTTCTCATTATTTTCACTATATCCTGAGTTTGCATTTTGCGTCTCCGTGTCCGTTAGAGGCCACACAAACAATATCCTACGTGTGTCATTAGTCAGCCTATGAAAATAGTGTGATTTTAATTGTGTTGGGCTCAATCGGGTTCGGACACAAATACCTTACTGCCTATCGGGCTTGGATCAGATTTGATCACTGCTCTGTCGGACGAGGGCCAGGCTCGGGCAGAAAAATTCGTCCCGATCCACACTCTAGTCTTACTCTCTCTCTGCCTCTCCCTCCGTTCTTCACACTTTCTGTCCTTGAATTTTAAATACAAACTCAGTATTTTCCACAATCACAAACAGCGCGTACGTGCAGTCTTCCTCGCAGCTCGCGGTCGTTCCTCATCTTCACGTAGATCCTCTCGTCCAAACTGAGTCGGATCAGGTCCAACGGCTCCTCCACGGTGTTCGGGGTCGGCTGCTGTGAGACAAGGACACACAGGCACCGGGGGGAGAGGGGTTATTAAGGCTGCACAAGACTGATCATCGATACGAAAACTAAAAACTTTCCTGTCTCAAAATATCACAACTATGACCACATGATAACAACACATAAACTACTATTTTGAGTTGAAAATTACATTACCGTATTTTCCGCACTATTAGGCGCTCTGGATTATAAGACGCACTGTCACTGAATGGTCTATTTTCGAACTTTTTTCACAAATAAACCGCACCGGACTTTAAATGAAACACAACAGTTGGATGGGTCACTGGGACTTTTGTTTGTGGCGTTCACGGTGACTCTGGGCTTTGTTCAGTTGTGGCGTGTAGGGAGGGTGCTGTCTGGGACCGCTGGATTGTTGGCGTGTTCGCAGTGACTCAGTTGTTCAGTTGTGGCTAGAAACGGCGCATTGCACTCACTTTTTCGGTTCGTTCCTCGTCGGCGTGGAGTGATGAGTGTGGCTGCGGGTGTTTTTCGCTGCGCGGTCGCTGTCTTTGTAGTTTGCCAAAGTCGTGCTGGGACACCCGAGTGGATTCATGTATAGCGCGCTCTGGATTGTGGGGCGCGCGGTCATTTTTTGATGGGGTTGGAGGCTTATGAGTGTGCCCTATAGCCCGGAAAATATGGTATATTGTAAATAACAAATGCTTTTTTTTTAATTGTTATTAATATGGTATGATAACTGATTGACTATCAATTGGGATGTAACAATAAATGAAATATCGTGATATCGTACCGTCAAAAGTCTCATAACAATATTGTGGGCTGTCACAATATATCGAATTACAAGTTTCTTTGCGTAAATACATGGTTTTGTAGTAGCAACAGCTTATAAACATTGGGAACTACATATCCCATGATTCATTTCAGAGCAGACAAAATGTAGAAATATGTTTTTATTTGAATTCTTGGGATTATGACGGAAATAATTCACACCAAAATCTTGTTAGGGTATTTTAAAAACAAAAAAGCGTCCTATCTACATTAATATCAGCCTCTCCAAAATATCGCAATAAATATCGTACCATGAGCTGCATATCATGATAATATCGTACCGAGACATTTGGATATCGTTACATCCCTACTATCAAGGATTTCCTTTAGTACTGAAATAGAGTTTGAACTGTTTTCATGACACATCTACATTTAGAACAGGACGTTATCTTGTCGTAAAGAGGATGTTTGCTTGCTGCTGTGTAGGATGCACTCTTTTAAGCAAGTACATCAATATATAACATTTCAAATATGCAAAATTTTAGTCCAATTAAACGACGCAGTAAGTAACTTTTCATTTCAAGGGTTTGCGTCCATCTTGTCTCCAATGCTCTCTTTTGCTTTGAGTGTTCCACAGTATGGCATTAAACTTATCTATCTTCGTGGAGATGCCATCAGGCCAAGTTACAGTTCAGATCTTTGGAGAGACGACCCGCTCACAATAGGGTCAGTCCATATGAAATCAGCCGCCCTCATCTTCAAAAATTCTGTTTGAAATGAAGGAATAGTAGATGTTTATTACTTTAAACTAATCAGAATATGCCAAAGTTTTTCTGGAAATTTTTTTTATCAACATCTAACTGTGACCGAGGGTCCAAAGAAGGGGCCAAAACGATCACATTTGGTCTGTGATTATATTTCAGGCTCTACACTGTCCACATGAAAGCTCAGAAAAGTGTGAAATTTGTGTCAGAAATGGTCATTCTCTCAAATATTCAGGTTCAGCAGTTAGTTTGTAAATATCTGCTTGGAGTAAATAGATCTTGGACCTCAAAATAAAAAAAAAAAAAAAAAAATTGAGCGGCAACCAATTTTGACATTTTCGGGGCCCACAGCACTAATAAAGATACTTAATATTTGACAACAGATTCAGAATCTATGACCAATCTATCTATAATAATCCAAATCCTCAGCTTCCTAACTCTATTTTTTATGAAGTTATTGTCTCTCAAACATGCTTATAAATTAAGGCTTCAGAAAAAGTGAGCATGGCCCCAAAATTTCAACGGGCCATAACTCAAGAATAACTCAAGGGATTGAGCTAAAATTTTAGATTCTTTCATTTGGTGATTTTAGAAACTTCTAGAAAAATTTTCAGACAAATCTGAGATTGTTCATAGGGGAGATTCCTTAAAAAATGGCTTATTTCATACGGACTGACCCAAAAAGAATTAGGTGTGTGCAAAAATATCGAAATATCATATCGTTTAATGTGGTGATATAGTATTGTTACCTTGGGCTGGCTGTATCGATATATTGCCAGGAGTATTTTTTGGTGTATTTTACTAAATTATTTTGTTACAGAGCTAGTTTTGTTGCTTGTTTAGTGGAAGAAAACTCGTTTACATTTGACATTTTCATTGTTTAGAGGATTAAAATGTTTCTGTTTCAAATGAACTTTGCACAAGAAGTGGTTTAACAAAGACTTTTAGTTTCACAGTCATGATTTAGCCTTTATTTTATACAGAACCGTATCGAATCGGTTTGAAATATATTGTATCGAAATGAACGCTCACTGTATCGAGATATGTATCATATCACGGCTTGTGTATTGAGGTATGCATCGTATCGTCAGCTTCTTAGCCCTAATACGAATGCAATGTTTATGTTGAGCAATAAACAAAAACAAAAAACAAAAAAAGCAATAAACCACCTGCAACTGAACAAATGCAAAGCTGTGGGTATTTCGAGGCAAAACAATAACATCCCCATGGAGACAAAAGTTACACAGTGCACCTTTAAACAGTAAAATCTATTAAATATTATTTATTCCCAATGCCCCTTCAAAATTGTACATAACAAAGTAGGCTATTTTCATCCCCTAGGTTGTCACGGTACCAAAAAAAAAAAAAAAAAAAAAGCCGCGCAAAAATTTATTAAAATCGTTGAATCTCAGGCATTATTCTTTATTCTTTAAACAATTTATCTATATTTTAAATTGTTTACAAAAAATCCAAGTGCAGCTACATGAGGCTAAAATGGAACGCAAATTTAAGTTTGCCGGCTATAGCTTTTTGTGCACGTTTCTAGCAAATCTAACAAATATACGGGACCGCACTAAATATGTATACACCGATCAACCGCCATATCTTTTCTCGCTTTTTTTTAAAGTCATCTAAATAAGAAAAATGTGAAAAATGTGATCGCTTTTGCACAAACCTGCTCCACTTCGTCCGCCATGCTGTTTGAGTCTGCGTCGGTCTGCTGCGTGCGTCGTGCGTGCCGTCGACGTACCACTAGCCAGATCCGGAGGACGTACGTGCGTGGGTTGCCAGATCAGCAGATAACACGCGTCACTATTCCATGTTGACTTTTATCGATGTTTTTAATTGCTGTGTTATATTTGAGTAATAGTGACAGACTTATTTTTATTGTGCAGTTATCATGTAGGTTAGGCTATGATAATTTGGTAATATGATGATTTGGTCTCGTAATATTAAACTACAAGCGTATATCTTTGCTTATATTGACTTAAAGTTTTGAATCACTTTGCATAGAGAAATTTACTTTAGGCATGACTAGGGCGACCAGACGTCCCTACTTACCCGGGAAATCCGTGTATCATTCGTTTTTCAATATAAAACTAAAAATAAGAAAATGAAAAAAAAAAAAAAAATAATTAATAATATAATAATAATCCAATAATCAATAATGGAAAAAAAAAATAATAAAAGATAATGACCGTTTCTCGTTTCCGTGACTTAAATTGAGATGCTGGACTGAGTCGGGATTGAACCAGGACTAAAACAGGTCCGGGACCAGACCGGAACTAGACCAGGGCTGAGTCCGGGACCAGACCAGGATCAGGACCAGGACCAGGATTGAGACCGGGAATGAGACTGGGAATTATTCCTTTAAATTAGAGCTTTGAAATCGCCCCCCTTTATAAGTGAATATGTTTTTTTTTTGTTTTTTTTTTTTTTTTTTTCATTATGGTGTTTTTTATGCGTTTATTTTATTTTCATGTGAACTGTACTGTACTGTAAGGTGCCATTTTTATTTGTATCTGAAAATCTGCAATTAAAAAAACAACAACAACAACACACATAAGTAGAGAAAAGCGTCGAACCTGCCTGGCAACCCATCTCTCCTCTTTTCCAGAGTTTTCGATCTCTCCATGGTCGCAGTTTGCTTCGGCTCCAGCTGCTGCAACAAAGGGTAATATCACTGATTTGTTTGTGCATCATCTTCATAAAATCACGCTTTTTTTTTTTTTTGACGTTTTTGACGATATAAAGCCGCGTAGTTGCTTGTTTCCTGCAGACTCGCACGCGGCTAAATTATCGCGTAGTTTTTGGCGTGAATAAATAAACTATGACTTCATAATTCAGGTTACACATGTACTGTAGACTGTATTTTCAGGTTTTAATATCTGTTTTCCATCACTTTAGCTGAGGAATAGTGTTTAAACTTAAAATCTTAAACTTGATGCACCGATAGTGTGACCAGATGTACATATTTACACCAGGTAGTTCCAGTTTTGAGCCTTGTGTCCCAGCATATTTATCCAAAACCAGTGATTTGTCCCAGTTTTATGCAAGAAATGCCCCAGGTGTCTCTATTTTTGACCAATCTGATTCCTGCCAACAGCAAAGACAAACATACATAGTCATTTGTTTAGATAAAATACAGAAAAGCTGCTTGAAAACTATACTGACTCGCGTTTGTGCCGAGTGTATAATAATTTTCCTTAATTACGTACTCATTTCACAATTTTATTATTATTAACCGAACCAAACCAAACCAGCGATGTCCCAGTTTTTTTATTTTGAAAATCTGGTCACCCTATGCACGGATCCAGCCTTTTCACTTCCGATAATGATTTCGATACTGTAGCAGCTTTAGTTATCTGCCAATAACTCAAGTCGATATCAACCGATACCAGCGCAGAGACAGAAAACATTTATTTCTTTTAAAAAAAAATGAACATAAGACTAAACTGATCCAAATTATTATTATCTTAAGTCGCTGTTATTTATCTTTTAAGTAACTACAGAAGAACTTTTTTTTTTTTTTATGTCAAAACTTAATACTAAGACTAAACTGATCCAAATGTGTGTAGCTGTTATTTATCTTTCAAGAAACTACAGGAAAACATATATTCTAATATTTTCTGGTCTGACAAACACATTTTTTTATATATTTTTTTAATCAAAATAGAATATTGGCAGAACAGATATTACTGAAACCTCAGGATCTTACAAGTTCTTTTGTTTTAACTAGGACTGGGTATCATTAAGAAGTTGCCGATATGATACATATCTCGATACGGTGCACTTTCGGTTCGATGTGATATATTTAAAATCGATTCGATGCGGTTCAATAAAAAATAAAGGTTAAATTGTGGCTGTGACACTAAAAGTCTTTGTTAAACCACTTCTTGTTCAAAGTTCATATGAAACACAAACATTTTAATCATCAAAACGATGAAAATGTCAAATGTGTCGCATAAACGAGTTCAAGCAACTGTAGCGCTGTAACAAAATAAATTAGTAAAATATACCAAAAAATACTCTTGGTGAGATATCAATACTGTATCATCACATTAAACGATACGATACATCAATATTTTGATATTTTTGCACACTCGGCCCTGTTCGGTCTCAAAACCACTTTTGAGAGACCCACATTGTGTGAAATGATTTGAGTCTGTTAAAAGTGCTGCTACAGTCACATCAAGTGTCACATTGTCATGATATTTGGAACAAAAATCCTGACATGATGAGGAAGACAACAATATAACCTTACAGGGGTTTATGCATTTGTGTTTACAATTATAAAACCATTCATGGAAATAAATACATAAAAAATAATTCTCAAGTAGGGGCGTGAAATAAAATTGAAATATCGATCGATCGTATTGTTTAGTTTGATGATACAGTATCGATATTGTGGGCTGCTGTATCGGTAGCCCGGCTTGCTCCACTTAGTCCCTCCGTTGAATTTCATTTCTCTCCATCGACTACATCAGGAATCGGAATGCACTAGACGATTTGCAAGAACCCCGGAAGTGCAAGTTCGGGCAACAGTCAATCAGCGAAGAGCCATATATCGTTGTGTTGGCAACAGTTCCCGAGATTGAGGATTTAAAGCCGGAATAAAGAGAATGTTTGGTGAATTTTATCAAGGGGAAAGACCATGCCATACCAACTTTGTTTATAAAGCATTAAAAAAAACAAAAAACTTTACAGTTGGCCAAAGTGATGAAAGACGTTATTGCCCTTCTTCCTACGAGATTTGACGCATTACATACATCACAACCAAATAGCAGCGATTGGTTATATAAAAAAGTACCGCCTGCTGTCGAGCGAACAAATCCTAATGCTTCGAGGTCTGATGAATCAGGCTATTTTATAGGTATATCACAAAGAGCAATTTTTGGTATATTTTACTAAATATTTTTGTGTAAGAACTACAGTTGTGATGACATTTTCACTGTTTTGATTAGTAAAATTGGTGTTTTTCGTATTAACTTTGCACAAACTTAATGGACTTTTGACTTTGATTTTGAGTATCACAGCCATGATTTAGCTTTGTTTTTTCCAATGAACCATACTGAATCTAAAGTGCACTGTATCGAAAAACATATATCGGCAACTTCTTAATGATACCCAGTCCTATTCTTAAGCACAAATCCTCTCCACGAATTGAAAAAAAAGACAAATTGATTGTGACACACTGGCATGAAAAAACTGCAAATTTTTCAGCATTGAAGCTGTAGTACCATAATTAGATCAGTGTATACCTAGTACTTACACAATCAATTTAAAGAAAAGCAGTAGCCTATTATAAAGTAAAATGTATGTTTATTTATAAGACTGTGATAAAATAGACAGACCAACTGCATAAACAGACAATCATACGATACAAAAATATATTGTGGCTTATAAAAAATCACTCTTAAAGTCCCTGATAGGTTTATCTGTAACATTATTCATCTGATTTTCACACAGGAGGATCTGGGTTTGAATCGCTGTTGGAGCAAAATGAGCAAAGACCATCTGCATGTTCAGAGGCGAGACGAGAGACCAACCCCGCCATGGAAGAGAAGGTTAGAAGCTCAAATCAAGGCCACAAGGAGAGAGGTGAGCCAGCTGGCAGAGGCCAACAGAGGTAACATGAAAAAACAAGTGCCCAAGAGATACATCCATATGCCCGTCTCCGAAGCGCTGGAGGCGGCCAAGCAAAGGCTCCAAGCTCTGGCCGGCCGCTTAAAGAGGTACAACACAGAGAACGAAGCCAGACGAGAAAACCGCCTGGTCTCAGCACAACCTGCGGAAGTGTGCGGGCGACGGCAGGGGCACTACAACGGAGCGGACGCACTGAGGCTGGACTCTGAACAGAAAAGAGACTGCACTCAGACCCTAAACTCTCAGGGCACTGATTGGACACTGGCCTGGGAGGGTCAAAAGTACGGCCAATGGAAGGGGCACTACACCAAAGCGGACCCACTGAGACCAGACTCTGAACGGAAAAACGACTTCTCACATACACCGACACGAGACCGGGAAGGTCAAAAGTACGGAAAGTGGCAGGGTAACTACAGCGAAGCGGACCCACTGAGACCGGACTCTGAACAGGAAAAAGACTTCACACATACCCCAACACGAGACCGGGAAGGTGAAGGGTACGGTCAATGGGAGGGGCACTACACCAAAGCGGACCCACTGAGACTGGACTCTGAACAGCCAAGAGACTACACACAGCCCCCAACACGAGCCTGGGACGACGGAGAGTACGGAAAGTGGCAGGGTCGCTACACCAGAGCGGACCCACTGAGACCAGACCCCAGACAGCCAAGAGACTACACACAGCCCCCAACACGAGCCTGGGACGATGGAGAGTACGGAAAGTGGCAGGGTCGCTACACCAGAGCGGACCCACTGAGACCAGACCCCAGACACCCAAGAGACTACACACAGCCCCCAACACGAGCCTGGGATGACGGAGAGTACGGAAAGTGGCAGGGTCGCTACACCAGAGCGGACCCACTGAGACCAGACCCCGGACAGCCAAGAGACTACACACAGCCCCCAACACGAGCCTGGGAGAGTGAGATCTCCTACACACGGTGAGATGGGAATTTCTTATCAAGTAGCATATTTACTAACTATCTATTTGGTCTGGTTATTCATTACCGTAAAATACCAAATACTAGCCGAGGTGTTTATTTTTTGCTATCAATCAACAGACCAGGCATTTATCCTATTTTCTGCACCATAGGGCATCAAAAAATGCACCGCAATCCAGATATTCCTATACACGAATCCACTCGGGTGTCCCAGCACGACTACAGTAAACTGCAAAGCCGCACCAGCTGCAGTGCACGCAAACACACACAGAGCAGACAGCGACCGCACAGCGATAAACACCCACAGACACACTCATCACTCCACGCCGACGAGGAACGGAGGAACGAACCGAAAAAGCGAGTACAATGTACCACTTCTAGACACAACTGAACAACTGAGTCACTGCGAACACACCGACAATCCGTTGGTCCCAGACAGCACCCTCCCTACACGCCACAACTGAACAAAGCCCAGAGTCACCGTGAACGCCACAAACAAAGTCCCACTGACCCATCTAAAGTCCTGGTGCGGTTTATTTGTGAAAAAAGTTTGAAAATAGACCATTCAGTGACAGTGCGCCTTATAATCCAGAGCGCCTAATAGTGCGGAAAATACGGTATTTTAGACCAGACGGCAATTTGGCCGTACGAAAATCTTGCTCTGCAAAAATTGGTAAAATATTGTGCTCAAATTCTTTCTGGGCTCGACATTAACGGTTGTCCGCTGGTCCGGGGCAACTAAAACTTTTGTCCGGGCAAGTACTCTCCTCTGCCTAGTTGCCCGAGCGGGCAAGTGAAAATAAAGCGACACAAATCTAGTCCCCCAGTAATAACTATTTATTTGGTTGATAAACAAAGCGACGGGTTGTCCGTTCATAACGCATTTTTTTCATTTCCGTGAAAGGAACAGATAAGTCCAACCTTTTGAACTGCCACGAAAAACGGCCGCGGTGACAAGTGCTCACTTCATGCGCGCTGCTGTGCGCATCACAGTCAATGTTTTGTCTTTCCCACTGACTGTAGGCATCTTAAATAAAACGGACATAGTATTACGCTGCCTCCTGCAACACAATCTTTGCCCAGTCAATCAAAAATGTCCCTTAGTGCGGACCGTACCACTCCACCCCTTTTGTTTTGTCTCTCATTCTACCGTCACATCTCACATATCTAGGAAACTTCATGACGCGTCGGAATGAAAAGCGAACTCAGGGCTAAACCCAACTCCAAAAATTTGCCATATATTTATCAAGCCTACTCACTAATCTCAGTAATTAGTTAAAATGCATAGGTTATTATTATAGCCCGTGCTTTTGGGAATAACATTCACTGGGGCGGTACCGGGGCGTCTCCAAGCGATACGTGCGCTCTGTGAGCGGGGCGTGTGTCACCGGAGGACCACGCCGCGTGACATTAAACCTGCTTCTCTACTTCAGTCCTCATGGAGCCCTGTACGTGCACACTCCCACATCGTGCTGAGATCCATTCATAGAGAACAGTCCTACCTGTGCGCCTCCAGTGCGTCGCTCCAGTGCCACGCGCGTAAATCCCGTGTTTTCTTAACCTATTACGCAGCGACGAGAAGCGCGAACAAGGACCTAAATTTAAGCAGTCCAAACTAACTCCACAGTAGAGGACCGAGATATGTAGTTGTTTTCTTTATAAGTGCGCAAAGGGTATAGTTACAATTTATGTTTTTATGCAAATTAATGGCCAATATTATTAAGAAAATACTTTTCAGTCATTGAATAACTTTATATCTATGTTAATTCATATTTTAAAACAGAGTAGGCTACTATACACGGTTCAGGTATAACTCCAAATGCGCACGCAAATAAACGCACAACTGATTGTCACGAAGACTGACCTGCGCTTAAGTTTCGCTTTTGTTTCTCGTTTTCTGCACTTTATATAAAAGGCAGCGCATGGAGCATGTGCTCTTACTTTGATTAATAACTTTACGCTTTTGCTACTCGGAGGAGGACGGAGGAGAATTATGGAGAACTTTAGGCAGATTCGTTTGGATACATCTTTACGCACACGCGCTCCACGCTGGATATATTTACCAATGAGGAGCAGGGTTTTTGCGGAGTTTTGGTTCATATTATGTTTGGCTTAAATTTGACGCGGACACTGCAGGCTGTGGATTTATTATTACGCACTTTGGCTTTGAGACACTATAAACGCCCCGCACTGGAGACTGGGTGTTTTCGGGTGGATACAAGTTTCACGCTGCACCTTGTTTCTTCAGCTCTTCTGTTTTACCGGTAAAAGACACACTGCACTTAGTTTGGACACATGTAGGACATGCTCAACATGTTAAACATGAGCGCTGTTTGTGCAGTACATTTGCGCAGAGCGCGCAGTACTGACGCGTGAACACCTGCACTACTGATAAATTGAAGTGAAATTAAAGTGTGTGTTGGCTTATTGACGCGGGCATTTAATGAAAAGGACCGAAAGTGGGCACCGAGCGAACTTTTGTTTTTTTTAATACCAGTTTTTTAGTACTTACCGGGCCTTTTCGGTCGATGCCTACTTGAAACAGAGTTTCGATACCCAACACTATCTGCGCAGACTATAGGCTCGTGCAAGTCCAGTTCTATGGTGTACTGGCACTAAAATATTTGGAATGTGAAATGTGCAAGTGAAAGTCGGTTTCTTAAACCTGTGAGCGAGGGTCCACGGGAAGGACTTATAAGGCTATATATTTGTGAAGCTCATGAAGCCAAAATTAACTTTAAACATACAGAAAGTAAATCAGATGTAATGCAAAGTAGTGTAACTCCATTACATATGTGGGACAATACTGCATTACAAAATGTTACACTGCAAAAGGCAATATGTATCACAGTTTCAGATTAACTTGCTCATTGGTCCCAGCATTGGTCCCAGATGACAGCAACCAGGACTATAGATGTTCTGTCATATTTATCTATAATCACATTAGTTCTAGTTGTCACCTGCCCATATGGGTCTGACAACCTGAGACACGTTGAGGCACTCTTAGATCTCTGAGTGGATACAAGAGAGAACAATTTAATGAGAAGACCAATGATAATAATTTTCATCTCATATACATACAAATTTGGACACACTTTTTCATTTATGCTTCTTTTTTTCCCTCCATATTTACACTGTGGAGTGTAGCATGAAATGATTTAAACTTGTTTTATATATTTGAGATTCTGCCCCTCTCTCTCAAACCATTTAGTCATTGTGGTCATGTTATGTTGGTATTCATATGAAAAAAAGTTTTTATATGCCTGTGCTAGAGTTCTAGTCAAGACTGCATTAATTGAGGCCAAGACCTGTCCGAGACCTCAGGGTCCTGAGACCAGGACAAGACCAAGACCTCTGAGGGTCGAGACCAAGACCACAGCCCATCGAGACCAAATCATGACCATCTTTGTCATTTTTGACATTTATTTGGATTTTACAGTTATTTTGGCACATATATATCAATGTTTTTAGAAATCTATCTCCATTTTATCTGATAAATGTTAATTTAAGATTAAATTAAGACAAGCAAACTGTACTGTACTGAACACTGCCCTTTTTTAGACTCTCACCCACAGTTTGAGAACCCTCTCTTTAAGAAAACTTCCATTGGTATTTTACACAAAACTGCTTCAAAGTGAATACAGTGGGTAGGATTTTTAAACCCGTTTTGTCAAGTTTCTAACTGGAGTTACATTCACTTGCTGGTTTTGCAGTGGGATTTACCACATTTACCAAACGCATGTCGTGACAAACATAGATGCATTTTGAGCACTTTTATTAGGCAACCTTCAACCACATGTAGTAGTAGTGCTGCTTTGTGCCAACAATGTAACATAAATTTGGATTCGTTTTAGTATTATTTTTCTAATCTGTGGGCATTGAAGAGGGAGCCCGTTTGTGCTATATGCAGGGAGGAGCGAGAGCGCGAAAAGAAGGAGCAGATGACGTGAGGCAGATGGGCAGGTAGAATGTTTTAAAAAGTTTAACCTGCCCTGTGATACATTCTGGTACGAGAGGGTACACGCTGTTGCGGACAAGGCACGGGCGCTGGGGGCGCTCCACACAAATGCACAGGCTGCAGCGAGACACCCCGCACGCCCCCGCACACCGGTACAAGTTTATTGCTGAGAGCAGTGGCCGTAATGAAATATGATCGCACCTGTCTAATGTCAGACCTCGAGTCCGAGACAAGACCGAGTCCAAGCGCCTTCAAGACCGAGTCCAAACGTGGTCGAGTCCGAGACGAGACCAATAACTCGTGTAACCTCGCGAAACCACAGCCGTGCCTCAACGCAAAGGCGGTTCTACCGGCAGCTTGCAGCAGGAAGTACACGCGCAGCTCTGACTCTGTGTTTCTCAATGAGAAAGACGATCAAATTTGACTGGGCGCGTTTAGCCGCTTGTATCAGGTCTACAGTTAAACTAACAGCTGAACACACTTGTATTTACCTTCTGTACAGGCTGACCACGGCAAAAGCCACGATTTAAAAAAGTAAATTTTAAAGCTCTTATTAACAGTCTTTCTGGACCTGGGCCCTTTTACATGACACAGATCTGCCCCAGGAGCACGTTGTCCTGACGGTAAAGGCACAAATACAACCAAAGATTCATGCTCTGTGTATTTTGATGGGGATACGTGTAGAGTGTCAAAAAATAGGATGGATCCTATTTTCTGAAATCTACGCGTGCAGGACACGTTGCTCCATACGTGCGTCTAGCACCTGCAGTGAAGCCGTCCTCATTCACTTTCCATGCATTCTAAAAGTTAAACGTCAAAAAGTTGCAGTTTTTACGCTTGCATAGAGCGAAATGTACGTGCAGTCAAGCCAGGCCCTAACAGCTGAACAGACTTGTATTCACCTTCTGTACAGGCTGACCAGGGCAAACGCGAGGATTTCAAAAGCAAATTTTAAAGCACTAATTAACAGTATTTCTGGACATGGGCTCTTTCACAGGACACTGTGGCCATACCGGCTTGTAAAAGCCTGATCCCGTCAGATCTCAGAAGCTAAGCAGGCTGGGCCTGGGTAGTACTTGAATGGGAGACCACTAGGAATTCCAGGTGCCACAGTGGGTCGTTGTGTCCTTAGGCAAGACACTTCACCTGCATTGCCTAGTATGAAAGAGGTGTGAGCGTGAGTGATGGTGGTGGTCGGAGGGGCTGATGGCTCAGATTGGCAGCCTCGCTTCCGTCAGTCTGCCCCAGGGCAGCTGTGGCTACAGTAGTAGTTTACCACCACTGAGTGTGAAGTGAATGAATAATGAACTGTAAAGCGCTTTGGGTATCTTGAAAGACGCTATATAAATGCTATCAATCAATCAATCGACACAGATCTGCCCCAGGAGCATGTTGTGCTGAGCCAGGCCCTAAAAAAAGGTCTAGAGTACTACGACACTAGCCTGTGCACATATTTAAAAATATATAATTAACTGAGCACCATTTTGTTTTTCTGGGCAAGTAAGTCTGGGTGTCGGACAAGTAAAAAATTATAGCCACTTGCCCGGTCAAGTACTTGTAAATGCTTAATGTCAAGCCCTGTCTTTTAAGCAATATGACTATAATTTACAGTATTTACCGTTATAAGATGGCGTACCGACTACTTTGCCGACCTTGTGGGCACAATTCCAGCCGCCTCGTCCCCTGCCTTTTCTTGCCCCTTTGCCACAACTTTCCTCTTTTCCTCTTTCCACAGCAGTTATGATCACATTGCTGCTTCCTCCGAATTGCCAAACTGAAGTAATATTACCAAAACGCCCCTCCAAAAAACAGCTTATTTTCCTGCCTGCTGTGTTGCACCGTTGTTTCTTTGTTTTGTTTTTTTTACAGCACTTTGAAATAACGATTTCACAGCCACGTCATCTGTTCCTCCACTTTTTCAGTAAAGGTGATGAGGCTGATGGGCGCAACGCAGAGAATATCGCCTATCCATTCCGAGTCACACAACCAGTCTGGTAAAGGCAGGACTGAGCTGAAGTCAAACTGCTCCTGTGTCGACTGTAAACATCACGCTCTTTGTGGTGTCGCTGCACTAATCATGATATCTTGGTTAAATAAAGCACAAAAAATGAAAAAAGGGAGTTTGAGCAGCTCCTCGGCAGCAGCCACAACGACTGCTGGGGATGTCGGCATATGCTACTTTATACAGACTTAGGCGAGTTAAATGGAAATGTTACAACAAAATATCTACAGAGCGGCGTGTTTCCTCACATTTGAAAATGACTCCTGAATTACAGAAAGTAATTAAAACCCTCCCGCAACATGCAGAAATTTCTTTAGCACGTTAAAATAAATAACAGATGCAGCAGAGTGAGAACGTTAGAGGCGACACAAGCATCAGTCCTGTGATCTGTTGTTGCAGGCATTAGACTCGGCGTTTATTTGGAACCTCTGTTATTTATCAAAATGTACACCTGCACCCAGTGGTTAATTGAAACAAGGCGATCACTGTATTTTTCGGACTATAAGTCACACCAGCCAAAAAATGCATAATGAAGAAGAAAAAAAAAACAGAAAAGGAAGTCTCGCACCAGACTAAGTTGCACTTTTTTGGGGAAATTTATTTTATAAAATCAGAGATGGTGTAGGTTAATACTATACGTAGGCGTCTGGTATTAACACTTGACTTTGAGGAAAGTTGCACGGTGCATCCTCCCGGTTGTCGTGAAGCTGTGTTCTCCATCCTTGCTTTTCACCAGTCCCTCACAAGTTTCTCGCTCGCTCCAAACTTTCTTTCTGCTGCTTGATTACCGTTTTCGGCTGAATATTCACTACTTGCAGTAGGACAGAGTAACAGGAGCAGCAGATACTGACACACAAACCTAGAGCCTCTCACGGCTGTCAGTGTGAACATTTTAATATATAAGTCGCACCTGAGTATAAGTCACAGGAAACACCAAAACCATAAAAAAAAAGTGCTACTTGTAGTCTGAAAAATACAGTATTTGGTATTTTACGGTATATTAGTGTGTTATTGTCTTTGTGTGTGCCTCTGGTCTGGTGAGTACAGTGTGGTTATCGGTACCAGACTGTGGAGCAGACAGAGGAAGAACACGGCAGGACAAACCCATTCCCCTCTGTGCTCCTGTGGCTTTGAGGGGAAGAATCTCCTGCTACACAACATGCACTGATACTTACATCCTACTGTAATATACAGACACATCAAGAAAAGGGACGCATTATCATTATTATTTATTTAACAAAAGTTTTAACTAACAAAAGTTTGAGGTTATTGGTTTGTGTCGCAGTTGTGATACTTCACCAAATTATATTCAAATATTCATCATGATGTCCTGCATTTTCCTGACCTTTTACAGCGAGAGCCGTTTGCAGATTGATAAATGTGCAGAAGTCAGTTCAGAGTGACACACACATCAGTCTGGCCTGAACATGTAGCCAAGAGCTAATTTGCAGCCCAGGCGTCTCATTTATAAAACTTTACATGGAATTTTTACTAAAAATCTAAAGGGACAAAGGCGGATCGGAGTTCCTCAAACGTCTTTCTGAGACTTTTTCTATGTAGAATTTAGACAATGTCACAGACGTTACAACATGAAGGACAGTACTTTATATTTACAATAACACATTTGAATCCCCGTATCCTTGTTTGAACTGATAGGAGAGTTACTCATTCACAGCAGCTGTAGTACTGCAGTAGTAGTACTACACACCTGTAGTAGCGTGCAATCATGTCATGTAAAGAGTTAGTAAAAAAATAAGTTTTGTTCAGCAATAATATGACATTGACCAAGTATACCAAACAGTTAAATAAAAACTAAGTAATCATAAAGACTAAACCTTAAATGACTAAAACTTGAATTGTGTACTTTTTATCCACTAAAAGTAGATATTTTATTGACTAAAAGTGCTTATATATCCATCAAATATTACACATTTGGCAAATCCAGAATGAAATCTCTCTTCATTTTTATTATACAGTCTTTGTTTTTTCAGTTACACACGTGGAACTCAGATGAACTGAGTTTAGTGCTTTGCTCACTGATTTTTAAATTTTTCTCCCCACTGGTTATAATTATACAAAATATAAATATTGAACTTGTTCTCTTGCAGTCCCCGTGCTGACCACCAGATGGAGCCAGGATGCAGCAGTGGAGGTCAGAGTAACTGTAACAGAACTCATCCATAACTCCTGATCAAATGATCTAAGTGACCCACTCAGCGCCTGCATCATCGCTCCAAACGTCTCCAAACGTCTCCACAGACTCTTCTCCACAGACAGATGCGGTCAGGGCACAGACAGGGCCTGTAGCTTTAGCTTGGCGTCCTGTGAACTAAAAAGAAATGAAGTAAAACCTCATTATAGTAAAGAAATCGCACAAATGGAACAAATGGGACGGATTAGGTTTGGTTCTTGGTCCGGATAGTCATTCTTTTGACATGTTGGTAGTTTTTGTGTTTTCCATAAAACTTTGAAAATGGTTTTCTAAACAGTGTCTGTATTGTGTACTGTGAGGATAATTTGTCCTAACTTCTAATGACTTTTTTCTACTGTAGCTAAGTATCTACTGTAGATCTTTTAAATGAGAATTATATTAAATGTCATTTGGAATTAAGACATTCCTACATATAAATGCTGTGCATTTGGTTAGCACATGACTTGCTTTATAATAACTGTTTTTATTTAATTCAAAATAAAACATTTATTCTTGTCTTGTCAATTTTGTGGAATAACTAAAGTACTGTTGGCTCTTATTTAGGGAGGGGTGGATTTGAAGCACTGGTTTAAGTGTTTTCCTGTGAACCAGAGGGTTGCCAGTTCAGATCCTGGATCAGTACATCAAGACACTTCACCCACGTTCATTAGTACAGTTGTAGTTTTTTTATTTTTTTTTTGGTTAGGGAGGGCATCTGGTGAAATATCTTTTATTCCAAATCAAGCAAGCGGCTCTGGCAGTAAAGCAAACTCTTTACCACAAACATAAACATTAGTTATATTGTTTTGTGATAGTACGTGGTTTACACTCTGTAGAATAATTCAATATAGTCTCCACAAGTTCAGCTTAATGTAAATGTAGAATGTGGAGTATAGATGCAGTTTTCTGATGAGCCACCGTGGGGCAGTAGAGTAACATCAGTGTCATATTTTCACTGCAGTATTCAGGAGGCCTCAGTGTGAAGTACCTATGAAGTTTCATTGTTATCACGTGATGAATTTAAATAAGAACAAAACTTTAAAGAGCCTTTAGACATTTTTTCTTTCAATTTATGTCGACAACTTTTTATCTTTCCTCAGTACAGATATATAGTATAAGCACCTCTTGAGGTCAACTGTACTGGTTTAGTCCTGGGTTAGACCTGGTTTGGACATGGTTTAGTCCTAGTTCATTCCTGGTTTGGACCTGGTTTAGTCCTGGTTCAATCATGGTTCAGCTCTGGCTCAGTCCTGGTTTAGTCCTGGTTCAGTCCGTATACAGTGCAAAAGTTCGACATCTTCACTCAGTTATTTTGGTGAGAGTCACTTAAAGTGCTGCAATAGTCATGTAATGTAATGTTTTACTTTTTAAATGCATTAATACTGTAATATATGGACTGAACCAGGACTAAACTAGGTCAAAACCAGGATTAAACCAGGACTGAATCAGAACTTAACCAGAACTAAACCAGGTCTAAACCAGAACTGAACCGGGACTAAACCAGGACTGAACAAGGACTAAACCAGGACTAATGCTGGGCTAGGACTTGGAATCTAGGACTGCCTCTGAGAGAACCCCAAGCCCGTGGAGCAGGTGTCCATAAAACACATTTGGGCATCAGCTGCGCTTCACCCCGTGGAGCGTGGAGTTCTGTGTCGGTCCTTTCACCCGCGGTCACCCGACGGTTTATGCGAGCGCACCTCCGGTCCCGTCCCGACATTTGGAATCATAATAATGGTGTTTCACCACTGCTGATATTGTGGTGATTTTAGCTAATTTGTATAAAGAAAATCAAAAAACCCACCACTTCAATCCAGGTTAAAAAAAGCATTGTGACACGCGTTACTGACATTTGTACACAGTAAAATATCATAATTTTTTCCCTGTACTGCCAAACATTACTGCGTTACAGCAAAAAAAGCGATGCATTACAGTAATTCATTACTTTTATAACACGTTACTCCCAACACTCTGCACGCAACGTAAGAAACAAAATATTACGGCGCTTGTATTAACAAAAACACACTTTTTCCACTGGTAGATCTTTTTACTTGCCAAGTTGAATCTACTCAAATAAAGCGAAATGTTCTTAATTTAACTCATTTGAACTTAGTTAGATATCACTTTTTGCAGTGTACATAACCAGCAGAAGTACACGCACCACAGTTTGAGACCGACTGTCCGGGACCCCATTATAAACTCATATCCTTCACTCTATTGTAAAGGTGCAAAGTCATCAGAGCCCCACGTGCCCCGGGTCTCTCAGCTCCGCTCTCAAATGAGAACATTATAAAAATCAGCCTGACACTGATGGATGGACCACATTTGGGCTGTAGTTTTGAAGGACGCACAAAAGAGCCACTGACACTTTTAGGTGCATGGACCTTTGGGAAATTTAGGTACGCTTTAAAATGAAAGCTTCTATAATTTGATTTTATTTTTTTTTCCACTTAATAAACCTTACATTCTTTTTAATTTTCAACATTAGTTTTATCTTCCATTTGATTATTTTCAAGTGTTTTGCCAAATAACACAAAGACAGTGGTTTTGAAGCCACCAGAAATCAACCGGTTTAACATCTTGTGCGAAAATATCTGATAAAAATAAATAAATAGAGCCTTTCTGTGTGGCTTTGGCAGTCTTCCAGCTGCTTGTCTCTACAGAGAGGATATTGATTTGTCTCTTATGTTCCACAGTATGGCATTAAACGTATCTATCTTGTCAATCTATCATCTTATTGAGGTGTATTTTATTCATTACAAAATGCCTCGAAAAACATGCTTTCTTACTATGGGTGGTGTCACCTCTCCACAGATCGTGAGCTCATGGGTCATCTTGTTGTCTCCATGGAAAAGTACAACTGAGAATGAAATATTTTCTCTGTGAGATATGAGCGTATTTTTCGGACTATAAGTCATTCTGGAGTATAAGTCGCACCAGCCAAAAAATGTGTAATGAAGAAGAAAAAAAAACATAAGTCACACTTTTTGGAGGAAATATATTTTATAAAATCAAAGACTAGGAACCAACATTTCATCTTCAAAGTCAAGTTCTAGTAATAACAATAGAAGAGAGAACAACAGGCTGTTAATGTCACATATGAACAGTTCTTCAGATAAACTATAACATAAACAACAGAACAGAACAAGTTTACCAAACTCTCCATCTCACTCCAAATCACTAAATCTATTGAATTCTTCATCCTCGGTGTCACTTCTGAGCAACTCCACGACCTCCAGAGGTAAACAGAGCGCCGCTTCCTCTTCTGTGTAGCTGTTGTTAGACTCAGCATCAGTTCCAGTTAGAATTATTCTGGCCTTTCTGAATCCCGACAGGAAGTTTGTTTAAATGTTAAATTTTCAGTGTTACAGAAGTAATGGTGCGATTGACTGACATGATACAGACAGGACAGAGGCTCTTTCTGCAGGAGACATGTGCAGTAGAAGTGACAGTGGTACAGGAGGAACAGGAGCAGCAGATACTGACACACAAGACTAGAGCGCCTCTTGAGGCTGTCAGTGTGAAAATTGTAATATATATGTCACAGTGCCACCCAAACCATGAAGACAAGTCAAAAAAAATTTGGTAATGTTATATTTTAAAGTCTTTGCATTGTCATCAGGATGGCTGAGTGGTTAAGGTGTTGGACTTAAGATCCAGTGGACTGTAGTCCTCATGGGTTCAAACCCCACTCCTGGTAGAGCTGCTTTGTTCAGATGCAGAGAAGCTGGTGTTTATGTGTTTCCTTTTACTGATGTTCAATGTAAAGTCCATGGTACTCATGATGACAAGTTCAGCTCTCAAAACCCATTTAGTCCAATGAGGTTCGGTCTTCTGATAATTTATGTTATTAGGTTATTTTTTCAGACCAAGAGTTTGTTTTCATACCAGTTTCGACTGCTCCCTGCGCTCTTCCTCAGAGTCACGTGATGTTGTTGTGACGTGTCCGGTCAACTGATTTAAACAGGTTTTGCTGCTGTTTTCCTACTGGTGAAACCATAGTTTTCCAGAATCACAACTCTAGCTGGAGTTTTTAGAAAGATTGGTTTTCAGAGGTGAGTTGCCGTGTGTGCAGAAAAAATGGGTACAAGGGAAGGGAAACGTCTCAGTTTTTAAAAATACCTGTGTAAGTGTAAACGGGGCCTTAGACCGTGGAAAACAGCTCTATGTTCATTTATTTACAGTGCGTTATCCAAATCACACAAACAACACAAAGATAAGATCATGTAAAAAATGTCAATTCTATGATAGATTATTTGCTTAAAAATGTTCCATGCTGTTTACATACAAACCCGGAGAGATTTTTTTTAACCCAAACTCATGTATAAATGCGTTCTATACCAGGCTGGTTGTTTGCATTATGTGTCTTGTTCTTCCTGAGTTATTTTGGTGTGTTGGCAGTGCCCGTCCATGACACACTCCTCCACAGACAGTAGAGTAGATGGGTTATTTATGCAGATTTCTGTATATTTCTGTTGTACTGAGGAGAAGCAGCCAAAAACATGCTATGGTCAGACGTTTTCATGCTGTGACGGACACGCTGGGCCCTGAAGAAAATGTTCTGCCAAGCGCACCTGCCATATGTAACATTATGTAAGAGTGTTAGGACGGGTCTGTGGGCACAGTGAGATGGGTTTGGAAAGGAAATGCATTATCGCCATTATGGAACAGTATATGACAAGATACAGTTTCTTGGGTTGTTCATTTCAATTTAAAGGGCCCATATTGCACTGTTTTCTGACTACGGATGGGACTTGATTAAAAAATAAAAATCAAATTAATTACAGGCTTTGTAATTAATTAATCTCAATTAATCACATAACAATATTTGCCCTACTCATTCACTCATTAGCTGACACCTCTTGTTTTTACTCGAACCAGAATTGTTCCAACTGTTTGCATTTAAATGGTGCATTTAAGGGTTGACGTAGCCTGATTCATCAGCCAGTTTCACTTCATGGAAACCGTCTGATCTCACAGCATTAGGATTCGTTCATTCAGTGGTAGGTGGGTACTTTTTTATTTAACCCATCGCTGCTATTTGGTCGTGATGCATGTAATGCCCCAAATCCCATAGGAAGAAGGGCAATAACATTTTTCGTCTTGATAAAATTCACCAAGCATTCTCATTGTTCCAGCTTTAAATCCTCGATTTCGGGAATCGTTGTCAACACAAAATGTCTGTCTTCATCTACATCCATCTCGACCACTTTGTTTACTGTTGTGCTGTACCACAAAAGGGACCCAAAAACGCGCTTGCGTTTGACGTCTCTTCGCTGATTGGCCGGTGCACAGTCTATAACAGGGGTGTCAAACTCATTTTGGTCCGGGGGCCGTATCCAACCGACTTTGATCCCAAAGGGGCCGGATCAGAAAACTCATGTCATATAAACCCCAAAAATAACAATAAGTTCAAATATTTGTGCAGAGAAACACAAATCTATGACAGAAATCTTTTTTAATTGATGAACTCTTTTACAAAATATTATAATATTATGAACAACCTGAAACTTTTAGAAAAATTCGATTTCAACACAAAGTTTTAACATTATATTAGGAATAAGTCAATTTTTGTTGTAAAATCCTGCACTTGGCTCCACTTTTCTCATGTTTGACATTTTGTTGATGAGGGTGTCACGGTCAACAGTCAAAACGATCGTCCTTTAAGAGCGTTTGGAAAGAGACAAGTCTTCATTTGTGCTGCTCTGGTGGGAGGGGCCACGTACAGAGACACTGGAGACGCTGCTGTGATAAACACCACAGAAAATTAACAAGATTTTAATAAACAATAGAATTAAAATATTTTAGTAGAAAATCAGCCGAGGGCCAGATTAAAGGTCTTGGAGGGCCGGATCTGGCCCCCGGGCCTTATGTTTGACACCTGTGGTCTATAACTTCCATTGTTCTTGCAAACTGTTTAGTGTATTCTGATTCCTGACCTAGTCACTGGAGAGAAATGAAATTCAGCAGAGGCACTAGGTGGCGCCAGCCTGGCTAGAGTTGAGGTGCTTCTGTGATACTTTGGAAACTCTTTTCTGCACTTTTGTGTTTTTTTAATAGAAATTTACCGTCCAGCAAACCCAGAGCACTTTCATGCTCCATTGTTGTTGTAGTCAGAACTGTGTACATGAGTAGAAATGGTGTACATGACATGGTGCACTGACAAACGTTCTGTGTTGTTTGGCATGCATACTGTGATAAAATGCCTTCATATTTTTAATGCATTATTTTCTTTGTAGTTAATTAATCATAATTAACGCATTAATGTCCCACCCCAAAAAAAAACTTGAACTAAGACAATAGTTTAACAGGTAGAATTATTTGGATCATTTCAGCCCGCTTCATGATGTCACAAGGTGGAACAGAGCATTTTGAGCTTTAGAGATGTAGACAGACTAATAATAAAGTGTTACTCAAACATGTGTGAATGAAACAAAACACAACTCCAGCTATGTTTTTAATGAGGTAACAACATTTTAACATGGCTTAAAGCTCACAAAGAGTCAACGTTGCGTCATATAGGACCTTTAAAAGCCTGGAACTGTATTATGTCATACCATATTAATAACCCATAATGCATTTCTCATATTTGACCATCCGTTACCAGACTTCCTTTTCAAACCCATCTCACTGTGCCCACAGACCCGTCCTAACACTCTTACATAATGTTACATATGGCAGGTGCGCTTGGCAGGACATTTTCTTCAGGACCCGGCGTGTTCGTCACAGCATGAAAACGTCTGACCATAGCATGTTTTTGGCTGCTTCTCCTCAGTACAACAGAAATATACAGAAATCTGCATAAATAACCCATCTACTCTACTGTCTGTGGAGGAGTGTCATGGACGGGCACTGCCAACACACCAAAATAACTCAGGAAGAACAAGACACGTAATGAAAACAACCAGCCTGGTATAGAACGCATTTACACATTAATGTTTATGTGGGTTTTTGCAAATTTTTTGATTGAAGTTATGATTTGTGTCTTCAGATTTTTGGCATCTTATCATAATTGCTTTGTTAACGCAGACCTATTATACAAAATCGACTTTTCAGAGGTTTTTAAAATGTTACAGCGTTTTCTGTTGTATTTGGATTGATTTTGGAGCGTTTGGAGTGATATTTGGAGTGATTCGTGCATGTTTGAGCAATCTTTAATCGCTTATTTTCAAGACGCCACTTTGCTGATCAATCCCTGCTTTCACCGCCACCAGCGTGCACCCATTGCTCTGTATTTACTTCGTTCTCCAATTTTATTTTCTTAATCGGTGATACACGTAGGATAAGTTGTTTAGACGAATACTGTGAAGTAGGGCCCGACCGATATGGATTTTGTTGTGACGATATGATACCGATAAAGTGGGAGTTGGAACTGCCGATAACCGATATAATCGCCGACATATTTAGTGATGTAAAAATTCACAGTAAATCTTGAATTGTTTAAAAAACTTAGGTTTGGCTCTAGTGGATTTTGAATTGGGTTTATTTTTATTCTGCCTCTTTACGTCATATTTACAGACAGTAGATCAGCCTAATGTCATTTTTGCATCACATTCTAGCAGATAGTGATGGGTATACCAGTTCTCTTTAGAGAACCGGCTCTTTTGGCTCCCAAGCGGCTCTTCAGATTGTATTGTTGCAAACAGGACTAAACCAGGACTAAAGCAGAAATGAACCAGGACTAAACCAGGACAAAACCAGGTCTAAACCAGGACTAAACCAGGGTCTAAACCAGGACAAAACAAGGACAAAACCAGGTCTAAACCAGGACTAAAACAGGGCTAAACCAGAACTGAACCAGGACTGAAAAAGGACTAAACCAGGACTAGAACAGATCTAAACCATGTGTAAAACAGGACTAAACCAGAACTGAACCAGGACTGAGTGTCGGGACTCGGTCTCTATCTCTGTCCCTCTCTCGAGCCTAAGATTAGTCCTGGTTTATTTATTTTATGCTGATGCAGATTAAATGAACATAATGTAGAGAGTCTAAGGCTACGTTCAGACTGCAGGGCTTAATGCTCAATTCCGATTTTTTTGTGAAATCCGATGTTTTTGCGAGGTCGTTCACATTTCCAATTAAATGCGACTTGTCTGTGACTTCAGTGTGAACGGTAAATGGCCCGAAAGTGTCCCGCATGCGCACTGGAGACACGATGACGTCAACCCCATGCGTCAACCGCAGCGAGCGTGCTCTGTGTTTACGGAAGTTGTCCAAATATGGTCGCGAGCATTGAGCACCTGGCGATTTTACAGTTCCGGTTTCCGCCTGCTTCAGCGCAGAATAGTGACGTTTGTCGCTTGTTAATGACGTGTAGGTCAGATGGATGCACTTTGGCCGTTCAGACTGAAGTCGCGAAAAAGATGTGAAAAGATCGAATATATATCGGATTCAGGAGCACATATCCAAGTGTGCCTGGGTCACATTTGAAAAATTCGGATCTGTGCCGTTCAGACTGTCATTAAAAGATCGGATACAGGTCACATAGAGGCCAAAAAATCGGATTTGGGTCACTTCAGGCTGCAGTCTGAACGCAGCCTAAGCTTTATAAGGAGGTATAACATGCCCACATGAAATATCGGCCCATATCATCAAACATATCAGCTGATAGCCAATATGTTTCCAGGTGCCCATATCGGTTGATAATATCGGCCAACCGATATATATTGGTCAGGCTCTACTGTGAAGAGCTGAGTTCA